TTTGAGCAGTAAAGGAATTAAGGGTTATGGTGAGTGGGCGGGTGAGTGGAGCTGAGTCTCAAAAAGATCAGCCATGATCTTATTGAATGGTGCGGCAGGCTCGAGGGGCCAGATGGCCTACTCCTGCTCCTAGTTCTTATGTTCTTATGTAATTAATATATTCTGAAAATCACTCCAGCAACTTTTGTCAGCTTGTGTCTTTCATTAATCCATGTCGATCCTGCCCAGTTTGACCATGATTATCTCAGTTCCTAGTTATCACACCCTCTATAATGGTATTGTTTTCCATTCTGTCTCTATGTCTCTTCTTAAATATGGAGTTACATTTGCTTTCCAGCCTTCAGCAACCTTACTTGTATCGATAGAAGTTTGAAAGGTAATCACCAATTTATCCAATATCTCTCTAGCCACCTCCTTTAAAACTGTGGGGAGTAACCCGTCTGGTCTAGGGGATTTATCAATTAACAGTTACTAATAGTAATTACTTTCACAAGTCCTTTGTAAAAACTGAAAGAACTGCAGATGCCATATATCAGGAAGAAAACAGAAGTTGCTAGAAAAGCTCAGCAGGTCTGGCAGCATCTGTGAAGAAACAAATCAGAGTTAATGTTTCAGGCCCAGTGACCCTTTTGTTTCAATGGCAGGGATTGGACCAGGGAGAGAAGACTGAGTCAAGGTAGGAAGAGATGAGTTCTGTGGGGCAGGAGCAGCTGAAATAATGGGTCTGCCCAGACAGTCCTGTTTGTGGATTTTTGGAAGGAGGTAGAAGCGAGCTGTGTGGGGCTGGGGCTTGGAAGCAGTGGGTGGGAAGTCACCAGATGAAATGAGATCAATTACCGTAGTAGATATAATGGCCTGATGTGCCATGGTGGGGTCATGGTCCAGGGGAAGATAGGAGGAGGTATCTGAGAGCTGGCGCTCAGCCTCTGCAAGGTAGAGGTCAGTACGCCAGACTACAACAGCACCACCCTTATCGGCAGGCTTAATGACACAGTGAGGGTTAGATCTGAGTGCACAGTTCTCAATGAACAGATGGAGTGCAGGTAAAAGGCCAGAGGGAGGGGTCCAGGTGGAGGGAGAGTGTTGCAGTTGGGCGAAGGGGTCTGTGGGACGGGGAGAGAACTCTTGTCCAAAGAAATGGGCATAGAGGCGAAGATGGCGGAAGAAGACTTCGACGTAGAGGAATAAAGCTGAGGCCTTTGCTGAGAACAGACTTTCAGCATCAGAGAGCGGAAGGTTAGGAGGGATGGTGAATACCTGACAGGAGGTGGGGGGGTTTGGGGAGGGGATGGAGTCAGAGGGAAGGGGAGGGGAGGAAGGTTCCAGCGAACCAAGGGCATCACTGAGTTGTTGCATCTTGTGGGCCTTGATGCCTGAAAGGAAAAGAAAAAGTTTCTTGTTAGCATGACGAATGAACTGGAGAATGAAGTGGAACTGCAGAGTGGTGCAGCCCTGAGCCAGTGTGTTGCGATGCTGTTGGAGAGAGAGGTTGAGAGTGCGCATGTGGCGCCACATGGCACTGAGTGTGGATCTCAGGATGCGGCGAGAGCAGCTGTCCGTGGAACGTTGAACATCATGGAGGTATCTGTGATCCTGGGAGGATTCAAAACAGGAAGGATGAAACTTCAGTTGGAATCCACGTGGGGTGAGTCTGAGCCGGAGGCAGTCACTGAGGAATGTGATATGGCTGTGGAAACGAGTTTTAGCAAACACCAGGAGTGACAGTGAAATTAATGTCGGTGGACAAGAAGAAAGATTGGAATGGAAATCCCGTCGGAGA